CTGAGTACACAGATGGCTGGGTAATAAACTTAGGAATTTTGAGTGGATAAGCACAAATTTGAGAGAACAAAGGAGACAGCTCCAAAATGGAGTCACTCTGGCTCCACAATGGCACAAAACTGCTGCCTGAAAACCAACAAATATAACTCTCCAGGAAGAAAAATAAATTTAGGAAGTCAGGGCGGGTCTCCTCTCTGGCCGGGGATTTAGCTCAGTGGTTCTGCTGCCTGCCTCGCAAGTGCAAGGCCCTGAGTTTGAGCCCTGGTACCAAAAATTATGTTCCTAAAGAACTGTACAGTTAATTTATATGTATTGACCAAAACTTGGTAACTAGGCACACCCTCCTTCAAGGAAAATTGAAAGGAGCTATTTTCAACTGGGAGGCAGTATATCCACCAAAATATGAGTGCTATGGCTTTAATACTGATTTTCTGTCACAAAGACTAGTAGAACAGATTTGGTAAGGCAAGCTCCTTTTTTCGCCTCCAGCAATAATTTCCATTTATTTACTTCTTCAACCATTTTGCATCCTCATTCTAGTTTTTCACCCTTCATTTAAAAACAAAATAAACAACCCCTCCTCCTAGTTCTACTCATTTTATTCCTTTCCCTACCCCACCAAAAAAGTTATCCCTCTCCTTTACAATTTTTCTCACGTCTTTTCCCAATTCCGACACATCATCTCACATTTAGATTGTCTAGCTTCCTAACTGGTAAAAATAAGTCTGTAAATCTTATTTGTACTTAACTTCACAAATAATACACGAGTACATTGTCGCTTTTTACAAATGTACAAATAACGGGAGAGTTTCCCTTAGGCCACGCTCACGGCTGGATCAAAACCTTTAATCAACTGAAGATGAATAGAAAGTGGGATAAATGATGCGATTTTCCACTCCGTTTGAGGAAAATAAGGACAAAGCCCTGTGTCATTGCGGGTGTTGGTGATTTCATTAGGGTCTCCTACCAGCAGGCTAGTCTTTCTTCTGCATCTCTGAAGGCAACGCTAAAACACAGAACGGGAGAACTCCAATCTTGAGCCACAGTGGCCAGAGCTGTAGAGTAGTGAAAAAACAAAGGCAGGTACGAAATTCTCGCGAGTTTTTGGATAAGCGCGGAACTTCTCTGACGTATTTCCGGGCCGCCGGGCCCAGGGAAGCTGTGGTAGCTGCCGGGAACCCGCAGGCCGCGAAAATGGTGGTTACCAGGGCTGCCCATTCTCGGGCCCGAATGCAAATCGCTTCGGCCGACAGCCCCCAGCAGAAGGTAGGAGATTCCAGATTTCCCCCGTTTCTCTTCGCTACTTCATAGAGTGTTCAGGCACGTGGGGCGGCGCAGCGGTCCGGTGGAGAGGGCCCGAGCTTGCCACACTCCGCGGGTTAACAGGCCCTGCGCCTTAAACCTATCGTGGAAACTATTAAGTCCTTACCAGTTGTTGTTTTTTTTTTTTTTGGTGGGGGGTGCCGGGGATCGAATTCGGGTCGTTGCGTGGAAGAGAGACTAAGTAGCTCGCCTTGGGTCGTTCAGCACCTTAATGCAGATGCACAGCACAGACCTTTAAACCTCAGTGTTAACACCGTATGTACTGAGGAAGATTCCGGCCGCCACGCGCAAGGCTCAGTTAATGGGGTTGCAGCGAGTGGCATCCTTACCATGCGTGGAGACTGGGGTGGCCCACCACCAACTCCCTTTGGCATGGAGTGGACCATGGTGACACCGCCTGTTGGCTCTCGGCCGCTGCCACATTTCTTTGGATGCTACGATGAAAGGAACCCAGCAGCTTTTTTCTTGGATATGTAAAGGCAAGAATGGTGGCTGATTCCATCGATGTTTTCCTAAACACTTCTTTGCTTAGGATTAGTATTTATCCCCACTCTTTGCTACCTTTTTATGGGTCAAAATGTTTTGTTGTTGAGAAATTTTCTGTTTTGCTTTCTAAAGTCAGATATAATACTCTGGTTTCTCTTCAGATCATATAAATATTTCATCTTTTAAAGTCAAATATACAATTAGAGTAAAGAAAATTAGATCCAACACTTAGATTTTTTATGTTTTTAAATCATGGGTTTAGTTTTTTGTAAAAATCTTGCTTACAGGTTTTCTTGTTTTTGTTTGTTTTAGTCTCCTTTAAGATTTTGCTCCCGAGAGGAGTGTCTCATTTGTTTTGACCTTGTCACAGCCCTACCTAAATTATAGTGTATTTCCTTTGGCTTGCAGAGTTCTGCTGCTGAAGGAATTCAAGCACATCCAGAAAGCAAGAAGGAATCTGGACCTGATAACCAAAGTACAGCTGAATCACAGACTGCTGGGAAACAAAGTTCAATCTCTAGAACTCCTAAAACAGAAAAGAGGAAGAACAGGACTACAGGCTCGTTAGCAGAGATAACTGAACCATCCATTGATGGAGAGTTCTCTGATGCAGAGTCAAATTGTGCTGAGATGCAGGCGCCTATTGTAAGAATAACTAGGAGAAGGCAGATCATAATTGCACCTACTCCAGTGTCCACTGTAAGAAAAAAGCAGAAAATAATTCCACTAAATGAGTCTGTTGCTGAAGAAGTTGTCTCTGAAGCAGAATCTCATGCTTCAGGTATTTCTAGAATTGTGCCTTCCCCAGAAATGACCAGAACCAGAAGTAAGGCTAAAGCGCTAACATGTCAAAGCCAAGAATCACATGCCGAAGCCATATCTGATGCTGAATCATGCTCTGACATTTCATTCCCTGAAATTACACATAAGAGAACAACCAAGATTATGCCAAGGAAATCACAGGCACAAACTGAGAATAAATATACTAAGATTGTACCAGAAAATGAAAAGCAAATCGTGGATATCTCTATGAAGTCAGAGGATTCTGATACCAGACAGACCTCTCAGAGTTTGGATGGAGAGGAAAACAGAGTAACAGATGAGGGAAAGGAAAATGATGAAAGTTCTCAGTTGAAATGTCTTTCTAAACTTAAGGACCCTAGCCTTCAATTAGTTTCTCAAAATCATTCAACCCCTCAAAATAATAAAACCACATCAGAGCCCTCAAATCTGAACAGTGAAGCTGTAATGAAATCATTAGCTCAAACATTTGCAGTTGTAGAAGTGAACAGATGGAATGAAGAGACAAAAAGCACCGTAAAAATAAGTGACTTGACAAAGTTCAATAGTCATCATGGTAATGATGATGAAGAGTCCACAAATAAAGTTGTCAGTGGGGACAACAGTGAAAGGAGTGTAGATCTTGAATGTGATATCAGACTAAACAAATCTGAGCTCAGCCACTCTCAGGATATGGATGATTCTGTCTTACTAGTTCTCAGCAGTGATGAAAGCCAGCAATCTGAAAGCAGTGAAAGTGAAGAGGACACTGTGTGTTTTTTTGAAAATAGTGGTCAAAAGGAATCATTAAATGGAAACTCAGAAAATACATCTCAGGACAATGCATTCTTTGTAATTGACACAACTCCTGGATTGAATGCTGATAAAAATTTTTACTTGGAAGATAAGGCAAGTGAGGTTTCCACTGAGGAAGAAAAAGAAGAGGAGGAGGATGAAAATAGTGAAGAAGAACCATCAGACAGTGACAGAAATAA